AGAATGGCGAAAAGAAGGTTATGCCGAACGGGCAGTTGACAGGTGGACGGGAGTATCGATGCAGGACTTTCCTTGTTCCGAACCGGGGAGACAAGCTTTTCATGTTGGCGACAGAATGCGCGAGGGTCCTGGGCTATCGTGACTCTTATCTTCTGTTCAATAAGAACAGGTCTTTGTTCAAAATCATCGCCAACCAAGTGGAGAAAGATGATCTTGTCAATCAGGAAATCCTGCCTTTTTCGTACAGGTCCCGACAAATCGCCATCGTAACAGCGCGCAGCATGTTTCGCCAGTTTGGCAGCCGGGTCATCGTCAATGGTCGCAGAGTCCGGGACGATTACTGGGAAACTAAGGCCCGGAAGCAGGGCTTCACGGAGGCCGACTTGGCCGGAGAAAAGAGGCCAGGTGCATCCAAGGCAAGAGAAGCTGCAGCTGCAGCCGAACAGAATACGGCCCTACTTGGTGGACCTCACGGCGAGATCGTCTACAGCAACACGCCTGCCCAATTTGCCGGTGCTCCTCAACCCCAGCTCGTTCAACCAGGTATGCTTGGAGCGCCATCCTCTGGATCCACGACTCGAATGCCCGGATTAACTCTACCTCCAGAATATGCCGACACGAGGAGTCGTGACTACTCTAATATCCTCAAGACAGGCCCACGGCAAGAGATCACTGGTCCACCATACCAGGACAGGACACAGCCAACTCCCATGCCTGAACTCCATGCTCAGGCGCATCATGCGGCCGAGTTCAACCGCTCGGTGAATCAGCAGCGTGAAATGCGTACTGATTACATGCAGAACATGTGGCGACGACCACACGAACAGCCAGCATCGACCAATCTGAGCCAACCAGTGACGTCCAATGACTCTACTACTCTTCCAACTACGCGGGCCACTCAGTCGCCTCACACTGCTACCACTGGTATGCAACATTCGGGTATAGTTCCGAATCAAAGCCCCCAGATGATGATGACGGCTCCGCCGTATTCGGCTCCTATTCAGGCACCGAATCCGATCAGCCAATCTTCCACCATGAGAGGTATGACTACCCAGCCTTCAACCCAGAAATATACAGCACCAACAACTTTGTCTTCAGGATCAACGAGCAGCATGCCGCAGAACACACAAGGGTATGGCTATCAGCCTTCCAGCCAGATGTGGTCGAACACCCCGCAGGCACAACAGTACGGTTACACGCACACAAATCAAGCCCAGCAATCGCCGCATCCCCAGCAGGCCTCTACTTCCCAAATCCGTCATCCATCAGGAAGTGGGCAGGTTCAACCAGGCGGAATGCCCTACTCCGGTATGCCCGGCATGGGACAGGCGTACCCTGCCCCTTCTCCATATGATCATCAAACACCACGTCAGTACATGCATCAACCTGGGACCGCTGCACCAGCCGTGACACAGGCGTGGTCTGGCCAGCAACAGCCTCAATGGTGGGCAAACCAGCCACAATAATCAGGTCGTCTTGATGGACGTCCTGAGAGGGCGTAATCCGTCCTGCCGAAGATCGCTGCGGATGGCTGCCAGAGATCTAATGGCGCAAGGGGAGGCTCTCAGAATTCATCCCTTGTCAACTCGACTTGACTACCTACGTTGAGCGGAGCGAGTTTCACGATACCAGAAGCCTCTACGGAGCAAGCAGAGGCTGTTGTGCGGAGTCTGCTCGCTTTCACATATTGAGCAGCAAACAACATAGGGAATCGACTGGAGGGGGAAGGTTGATTACCGCATAGATGTGGCGACTTGTCCGGAATATACCCTTTGTTTTGATTATTTTGTCCAGATTCTGTCGTTGGCCACGCTGACTGCAAACGACATAATCGAATCCATTTCGACCTCGCCACCCTCATATTCACTCGACATAGCTCACATTTACTGTTGAGTATCATGGCACACATACATATATAACTTGATACCACTTCCATTCTGGTATTGTCTTTCATCCCCCCAATTCGACTCTCAGCGTCACGTTCACTCCCGTCTTTATCAATGACCGCTACCAAATTGTATCTTTTTCAAACCCCAACGCTGCTTACTTCGAATTTTTGGACTCCGTTTCCTAATCTACCGCAAATCCGTCGAAACCAACGCCTCCTCTATACATCTTTGTTTGCGATTCATTGCCAACGAGCTCTGCAATACGACGGCTCGAAATTGCATTTTCGAATAATTTCATTGGTGGTACTCTGTGGAATCGTTTCTACGCTACAAGTCTCGCATACACCAGAGGGTTTCGTTGTGTCAGTCCTCGCTTTCACGACAGTTGTGAATAGCTTGGGAGAAGCGTCCATGAACCAAAGTCGGCTTGGAAGACTTGTAGAAACATGGATATGGGTGCTGGCCGGCTCTCTTGATTTTGGGATACTGGATACCAGGTCTGGGGATACAAGAATGCGCACCATGCTTCTGGCTTGTAGTTTGACTTGCATTGGGAGGCGGAGGCCTTTTTCTCAAGAGGAGCGTTTGCCCTGGGATGGACTTTCTGGCTTTTCTACTTTGTCTTACCTGATTTTACTACTTCTTGTGCCTAGTTTGAATTTGCCGTTACTTACACTTGCTGTTTCATCCTGTTGCCTTCTCTCGATACAAATGTAAGGGGGAGGGCAAGTTACACTGGTCAGGTAGCATTGGAGGAGTTCCTTGTCATTTTGTGAACTGTGGATCTTGGTTTGTCTTGTCTTGGATCTATTCATCCTCTGTGAGGGTGGTGAGGCTATCGTCTGTGGGAATGTTTTGTCGACTCTTATCTATTTCCTATGTTTCTCGTCGCGCGCACACAACAATCACACATAGTTGCATGGAATGGAAGGGCTACAGGATGGGATGGAACTCCTTTGGGGCTAGGACACCGCTATCCTCCCCTCCTCTGTTTGTTTGTTGAACTGGCTGGCTGGCTGGGCTGACCTGGCATTGACCGGGGAGCAAGCTGGTTGCTGAGAGGAAGGGAGGGAAGGATCATAGCGGGTGCAGTCGGGCGATAATACCAACTCTCTTTTTTGTTTCTCTTGGATCATGTTGATACCCTACTCTACACACATGCTTACGTGTTTGCTATCTTGCCCCTGTGACACACACCCAGCTAGTAGGGCGAAAAACTCTTTGACTTGGAGATTGGCTCCGACATGAAACGGACAGCCTCGCTGTGTGACTCTTCGCCAGGGGCATTCCAGCCTCCTCCTTGTCTATCCCATGCCGTCCAACAGCCCGCACGCTGATTCGGGGTCCAACTTTGGCAAGGCTGCCAATGATTGCTGCCGCTCTTCCAGGATGTAAGCCGCCTGCAGCCGCCGTTCCCTGATCGATCGATCGCCCTGCCGGACGGCCGCGAATGGTGGTGGCGTGGGCATGTTTTCCCTCGTCTCGCCTTCCCGATCATGCTGCGGCTGCGTCGCCGTGCGACTGCATGACTGGCAGCGGTGTTTCCCCCCCTCGCCGCATTTCTCGGCCTACAGATCTCGTATGCCACCTGTCCCCAGGCCTGTTTCTGTAAGTGGAGCCGTCAGGAGCTCGACATTTCCTGGGTCTACATGGAGGACAGACAGCGACATGCGTGCGCTTCGACTATGGTTGGGTGGTGTGGGAAAGGTACAAGACAGGACAAGCCATGACGGCGAGAGACCAGTCACAGTCGACATCGCACGACCGGTGAGCCGCGTGGTTCCTCTCTCGCCCTGGTTGAACGGCGGCGGCGAATGCGGCGCCACAAACTACGGAGATGGGAAGTGTCCGTTGATGGCTAGAAGATAGGTGTGGGTGTGTGTAAGTGTGTGACACTGCGGGCGCAATACTGGAGCTGGGCGTGTTTGGCGAGGTGAAGAGCGACGCCAACCGAGATTGAGTATTGGCTTGCGAGCGGAACGAGAAGGGAATTTTGGAGGGGGGCATCGCTCTTGTTGGAAAGGAGGGAGGGAGGGCAGAGTAGAGCAGGGGGGGAGACGAGGCTGAGCTGAGCACACTCTGCAAAGACTACCGCATTGAGAAGGGTGTTGCTGGAGGTGGTTTGGTGATCCATCAGGGGAATCGGCGAGGTTCAGTCTGAGACAGTTGATCACATGTGTGAAGACGGTCATGAACAAGTATGGGGAGGCGGTTCATACGAAGCGCAGCTATTGATAAGTCTTTCTTAAAAGGGTTGCCGACTTATACGAACTCGGTCAAGTTGATCAAGGTGCTTGTCAGTAAATAGAGCTTTTCTGTGAGACGTGAGGAATCACTAAAATCAATCGGATTCTGCAGGTGACAAAGGAAAGTGAACCAGTCTTATATATGAACTTAGATTATAACAAGTTCTAGATTTTTGATAAGTAATAATTTGGCCAGGCATGGGGCGTGGCAATACATTTGAATCTGTAATCAATTCTTGCAATCCAAAACCACTGTTGCACAACCTACATACATCTTGACAACCAGAGAAGACAAGAAAAGATCATTTTAGAAAGATCAGTAATTACCATCATTAGGCTAGATAGCACACACCATCTGAAAAGAGCCTCGACGCTGAGCCTGCCTCTACTGTACCCAGAAACCAGACACTTAACACTCTAGCAAGTTTCCATGGGGTTGTTTCGTGTTAGAGAAATACAGTCGTTAGTAAAGGTCCTATCTCAAGAGGACGGCAGACCATACTTGTGAACGTTCGCATGCAGCTTCTTACCCCCTGTATGCTATCTTCTGTTGAGCGTCTTTCTAGACTGAAAGCTACATACATCCAGAAGCGATCAGCGCCCAGGATCAATCCCTTCCCTTAGCCTCAGCCTTCCTGAGAAAGAAAGCTTCAAATCTGAGTCGTGAATCGTTTCCAGTGAATCTATACGACTTCAAACGGAATTGTTTCGGATGGTCCTCAGTGATACCAGCAAGCCGACTGATGAGCCAGCTCGCCGGCAAACCAGTCGCGTAATGCGAGGTGTAAACCTTGGTAAACCTTTTGTAGCCGACACTTCAGGTGTGCTGATTGTTGATGCTCATCACCTGTCCTCAACACGAGTATTACTCACTATCGTTGCCATCATCCAGAGCTTCGTCCTCGTCAGGGCCATTCTCGCGATCTTCTACATCGTCTCGCTCCTCGTCTGCCGCCTCCTTATCGTCGTCCTCTTCTTCCTCTTCCTCCTCTGCATCGTCTTCGTCCTCATCCTCGTCCACATCATCCGGTACGGTCTCGGCATCCGAGTGCTCGTGCTCCTGTCCGTCTTCGTCAAGCTCCATTCTAGACGAGTCGAGACCGCTGGCATCGTCCGTTCTAGCCTTCTTCGAGCGTGGCTGCTGTATCGCGCTCGTGTCGGCGCCAGATACCAACGCACTATCGTTCATGGTTGTGTCCCCCTCGGGCATGCTCACCATTGACGCATCTGGGCCATCCTCGCCAGTGGTGGCCTTCTTGGCGGCAGCTATCTTCTTGCGATACGTAGTGCGTTTCGATGTTTGAACCTCGTTGAACTCTGTAGGGCTGTTAGAAACTGGTAATTAGGTGGTGGTAAGGTGTCGACGTACTGGCAAACTCGGCCTCTACGCGCTCCCGCATGAAGCCAAACTCGATCTCATCCAGAGCTCGGAATACATCGGGCGGCATGATAGTCTTCTTGTTCTGCATCGTCGTGATCTCATTGGCCCTGAAAAAAACATGGCAGACTTGTTAGCTATGCGGTGTAGATGGATTTGGGGCCTTTTGGGGGGCTCATACGCGTTTGCTAGATGATTGATGAATACCGTTGCGCTCTTTGACATGGCGAGTATCGCATTGGCCTGGATCTGGGTGTTTGGGGGAAGAACACCCTTTGCGAGGCGTGTGATGATCGACTTGGGAAGCTGGAGGTCCTATGGCCGAATGTCAGAATCGCCTCAAGAGCACTTGGGTATATACCAACACACCTCAATCGAGATGGCTGTGTCCTTTCTCTCTCCATCCTTATCCTTGTCTTTATCCTTCTCCTTCTCCTTGTCCTTTTCTTTCTCCTTCTTCTCCGATGGTGGTTGCGAGACACGCGCAGCAGCGGGTGTGGCAGAGGCGGAGGTGGAGGGAGCTGCAGCTACAGGAGCTGGGGATTGTGTGGCTGGGCTCTCTTCGTCGGCGAGAATGAATCTCGCTACAGAGACATCGCTCTTGCGCTGCTGATCGCTTTTGCGCGGAGGCATCTTGGGTATGCTTCTCAGTCTGATCGTGAGAGTATCGAGGGTTAGTGATGTCGCGCTGAGATGCCCTCAGCCACACATGGAAGCTGTGAAAGCAACTGCAGGAGAATGCCTTGCTTGGGGTTCTCTTGTGATGCAGTAGTATGAGGGACAAGTCTGATATTGCCTGGATTGCGTCAAGGGCAGCTTAGTCGCGCCGACATGCAGATGGGGGATGTGCTTGGGTGGCAGTAAGTCACCTTGGTGGTTGCGGTGTGGGGAAAACCATAATTTCTTCGGCGCGTTGTCGCGCTCTGTACTTCAAAGCGCGTTAAGTGCTTTTCTGTTGCTCCAAGACTAAATGCCCTTTCACCTTCCCACATCTACAAAGCCGCAACCTGGTAACATGTGATACAACATAACTTAAGTCTATCTTCTACTCTAGTGATATTTCACCTGAGCTGTCTTTTCAAAGCAACTCTGAACGGCATTGACCTGGCCAACGGAGGCATTACATCTACAGCACTATCTATAATGTAACGCCAATCCAACAGCTTACAAGCCTTGATATCGAACCATGAGGTGATCAGCCCTTATTGCAATGTTCTCCTACGAAATGACTCTTGAAAATCCTCGATCAAGCATCTCCATAGCTTGAATCCTTAATTCCCAGGCGGAGTTGGTTACCAAACCACTCCTTGGCAACCTTTCTCAACTCGAGAGCAAAGATTCGACTCCCAGGAACTTTTGCACTAAACCCATCGCTATTCTTATGGTTGTATCTATCTCCAATGTCTGGATCGATGATTACACCTGGTGGCCCCGGGATAGGGACGCTCACCCTAGCCGTTGCTTCATTCTCCTTGTTTGCATCGATGCCTACAACAATGTCCTCACAGATCATGATACCCACCACGAGATAAGGGGGCGACCACCTATCGTCTTTGACCCAAGCCAGTGCCGTCGACTGTACATCGGGGTCCTCCTTCAATTTGTCCTAGTACCGCTGGTGCTGCTGCAGCCTCTTCCAGCAGCCACGCTTGCCGCTCAGGTGGACGTTCTCGCTCGTACTCCCTTTGAACTCGAAACCCGCCAGTGACTTCAGAGAAAAGCAAAAGTCATAGCTAGTGCTCTTGGTGGAATTGGCGACCACATCCTCGAAGGTGCCCTCGACGAAGAGCTGGTCCTTGTCGTAGTATTGCAAGGGATTCTCTGGGAGATAATCGTTCGTAGGCTGCTTGGGATTCCTGACGATGGCACCGAGGATGCTCTGCTCGAATTTGGCCGCATCGAGCCACGAGTGGAAACCGAGCTCGACGGATTCGGGGTCGCTGCTCACATAGGGGCGACTGAAAATGGGGGCGATGCTCTCGTTGCAGCTGGCGACAGTCTCGCTGCGGACGACTGTTTCGTTGAAAGATAATGTTGCATCGGGAGTGTGCGTTGCATTGTGGCAAGAAGTATCCATGTTGCACGAGGCGCGTCCATGTCGTTCGCCAGTGTTCAGAGTCATGTTGTCGAAAGCTGTTCGAGAGCTTTACATCGCTCATGTTATTCAAATCGGCCGGCTGCCACCATCCCAACGAGGCCCTCAAGGCAAGCCGACTTCGAGTGCAGACACGCGGCCATTTTAGTATGAGGGGGAACAGGGCGACAAATAGGAAGCCATCGAGCCTCTACTGCGCCCTTGTCTTGCGACTTGAGATTGATGGTGGTGTTAATAAGGCGCCACCCAACAAATCTCGCCTGCCCCATTGAGCAGACAATGTCCTTGTTTGAAGAGCATACCAGCCGTGTGCAGTAAGTCAGAAGAGCCCAACAATGGTTCAACATTATGCAACGAGCTCCTAGTAAGTCGATTGGTTGTAATCGGCAAGGCAAACCGCACTTTCTGATATCAAACCCCCACATCACGATCTTCCATTCAAGTTTTGGAGGTTCGGCACCTCACTTTTTCCTCTCTGTATGAAAGGGTAGTATCCGCTTCCATCAGATACTTCGATGGGCTCTTCCATGCCAGGAGAGCCCTGCATCATGTTCGCGGTTGCATAACACTGCCGCCGAGCGTGCCGAGGCGCCCTTTCCATCTCCTTAGCAGACTCGAGATATTGCAGCGCGCGCGCGCGCGGTCCAAGCCGCTCGCGCGCTGCACGCTGCGGATCAAATACGACTTGACAAATCTTGAAAATGCCTCCCGCCTTCCAGACCCGGTCGAGAACTGACAAAGGCACATTGACCTCCGCCCGCCTGCCACCAGCCAGGTGGCAGACGAGGGCCATTGCCCGGATCTTGAAACGGGAGAAGCTCCAGCCAGACCAGGGAAGGGCAAGGGAGGGAGGGTTCCCCTCCGAGACGGCATTGAGTTCTTACCCCGGATCTGCCCCAAAACCTGGCGGAAAATCTACCGTCGTCATTTTCCGGGCTCATGGACTCCTTCTCTCTGGTCACATAATCACGGTGCCAGTGCATGTTTCACAATCGGGGTGTGGGGGTGGTTGCTGTCAACTGCCATTGTCAATGTCAAGTGTCAACGTTACAAGTGTCACAATCAACGCCAGGATATCAGACATGAGCAAAAGAAGACCGAAGCCACAGGGCTTGCTGTGTGCAGAGTCCAACTGAGACCTTTTGTTTCAAAGGTTTTTTTTTTCTTCCTTATTGTAAGATGCTGCGCCTGGAACAAAGTCGGCTCGCAGCCTATGCTAAGAGAAGCTACATGTATTGATACATGAGAAAGGCGTGAAAGGGCGCCCGATAGGCAAAGTTGTGCTCTCATCTGCAGCGGCCAAGTGACCAAGCTGAGTGAGGCACAGATACGCAGGTTGGAACTCGTGTAGATACCAGTCCAAGCCGCTCACCTGAGTTGAGTGTTCCATGAAATAAGCTGGACCTATTTATTTATCTCAGGCAGCGATGAAGTTTCAAGTCAACAAGCCATTTCGCTTCTTATCTCACTCTTTCATCTTCCGTCGCGGGGGTATATCCTTCTCTGTTTCTCATAATCTCATAACCCTAGAAGGTCCTGGACAAGCCTGAACCGCCACGAGGGCGCCTCGTTTGCAGCCCAAGCGGTCCGCGCGTTGTGGCCTGTCCCGCCGTTTGCTGAAATTGATATAAACGAAATAAGGCGCCTCTTTTGGCGGGTGGGATGCGATTGTGGTTTTAATATGATCAACGTTAACGTTATATAAGCCCCCTTGCGGTTCGGAACGAAAAGGCGAGAAGCCCCTGGTCGGCCCCACATCGGAGATGTTGAAGGATCCTGGTCTGTGAGGGATCAAAGTATCCGTTCCCACATGGTGAAACAGATAAGCCTCCGCGCTATATCCAAACCCGTGGATGTGCACGGATGCGTGAAACATAGAGAGATGAATCGGCGGCGGAACGTCGGCGCCCTGCTTATTCTCTCGGAAGTTGTGATGATCAGAAAACACCCGGCCCTGACGACCGGTGTTGTTTCTAGCTTGAGGTCTCAGCCAATGGCACGTCCAATCTCGTCGTCCCGTATCAGGGGTCGAGGAGAAAGGCCGCCAACGACGAAGTCGTCACCGAAGGAAAGCCTTGGAGGTGCAGCTGAAAAGGCTCGAGACTGGCGGCGAGAAGACCAGTAATAGTCATGCGATGTTCGAGGGGAGAGCTCCATCTCCGAGCCATATGCATCGCCAAAACTACGCATGCTTGCAGAGCTTCGTGAGCTTCTTGTCCGTGTGTGAGCGCTACGGGGTGACTGTAGGGGCGGAAGTTTGGACAGGCGAGAGGGGTGACGTTTGGGACTCGGTAGGAAAGGGTCGGCTCCTGGTACAGCCTCATCCGTCAAGCCTTCCCGAGCATTTGGTGCTCTTGCTTGGATCGGGGTCTGTGGAAGCTCCTTGTTCTCGAGGCTCTTCTTGCCACCATATCCACCACCATAGCTGGTATAAGCAACGGACCTAATCGAGCGGTCTTCTGACCTTCTCACGCCGGGATAAACAATCACACTCGGCGGCTTCTTTGTTGAGCCAACCGAAAGAGTTTTCGTGTGGCCGCTGGGGGGTGTTGCCCCATAGCCCGCCACGGTTGCTCCTGCGATGCCTGATCCGGGGCCACCTGGGCGCTTCTCCTCACGGCTGACCTTCCACGTGGCGATCTCGTCATCATCGATAGGGGTGATGCCTCTATTGAAAAGTCGGATCCGGTTCTGTCGATATCTCCAGCAGATCAAAATACCCCCTGCGATCAGCAAGAATCCCACCACAGAAAGCACGGTACTAAGAGTGATGACGAGAGTGCGGTTGTTACCGATCCCGGAGCTGCCATTTTCGCTCATAGTGTCAGTGCTATTGGACAAGGACCTAGTGGTTGTAGGCAGAGAAGAGGTTGGGTTGCTTGAAAATGCAGTTGTCAAAGTCGTAGGCGAGACACTTGGCGTGGATGCAAGTGACTCGCTTGAAGAAGTGCGTTTCAGAGAAGAAGAAGATGATGTCGAAGCGATAGTCAAGAATATGAGAGTTGTCGTAGTAGTCATAGGCGGCTGAGGCGTCGGAACAGTCTTCGGGTCTGTTGCGACTGCCGGAGTTGAAATGCCGGGAATGGAAGAAGGAGTGATCTCACGAGTGAACGGGAGACCAGGGAATATGGAAGGGAGCCCTGTAGGAAGAAACGGGAAACTTGATGGTAGTCCAGGGAAGTCTGTAAGCAGGCTCGTTAGCATTGCTGTTGTCCACTTATATGGAGCGGTCCAATCTGTAGCTGGTTTTTGCCAGTCCGCACCTTTCGCAGCCAACTCAAATGGAGTCAACAGCTCTTTGTCACGGACATCCACTGTCACAAGAGCCCCGGCCACAGGTAGTCGGACGAGCAAGCTCCATGCTGGTGCTGCTTTGAGCAACTTGAGCCAGAACATAGTCCTGTACTCATGGGCAACGCAGGCGGGCGCCAAAGCGAGAGTCAAGGGGGAAAGCAGAGTGTATCAGTATGTCATTGAGCCATTGAAGTAGTTCATAGGCTCTTTAGAGACGTATTCCAGCACGCCTGACAAAATACGGGCTCAACCAGTGATTGCAAACAACTAGATCAAGGAAATCGCGGAGGTATTACCAACAATGCAGTGAGGGTCAAAACCATGAGTTGATTTGGGCGATGCCGACTCAGTTAGGTTGAGAGAAGTCGGGTCGAGGCACTGAGCCCTCGCTGAGGCGGCTAGAGAGGCCGAATGAGGGAAGGTAGAGGGGGAGGTGGGAGCTTCCCGCCTCTATATACGGAAGATGGCATGTAGATTGTGCAGACGCCGCAGAGCAGATGGCATACACAGGCCTGTAAGCTTAAATTGTCAAACAGCAAGGTGAAGGGAGTGGCAGGTTATAACCATGCACAGAGCGGAGTGTGGAAACACGGCAGGTGATTAATCCCGCGCCCACAGCTGTGCCGGCGGGGCCTTGGATGCACAGGGTAATGGTGTGTAAAGTCAGTCTGTGTGTTTGCATGCTGGGGGTGAAGGCGTGCGTATTTGTATATCTGCTAGCTGTTTCAATGGAGAGCTCACGACATGGTGGTGTTGGCGGTGGGTGGAGAAAAGCTAAGCGGGACGCAGGTGTAAGTGGGAGACGGACGTGCTCCTGCAGTACGGATTTGCGGGAATCTGTCAAACAAGGTACCATACACTGCCTGGCTGTGCGCTTGACACTTTCATTCTTCTCGTACTCATATCCCCCACAGCGTTGAAGAACGGTACTGAGCCATCTCAGGTGCGACGCTGCCAGCTAATGCGTCCCTGTCCCTTCTATCTCGGCCAGAGAGACATTATTCGGTTTCATCGAGTGGATAAGCTCCGTTGTAACGGTGGTTGGATAACAGAAGATCGCCGCTGTGTGATCGGACATGAATGACAAAAAGGACAGGGGCAGGGGTCCAAGAGTGCTGGGCGGATAATAGGCATGGCGGACATGGATGGGTCCTCCATGGGTCAGGGGTGGCTGGTCCAGCGGTGGAGCGATTGATCTGGGGTGTGATGGCTGTCCCACAGTCTCACCATGGCTGGATAACGTGGGCAAGCAAGACCCAGCGAGCAAGCCAAGCACTAACATCACGGTTTTGTCACTAACCCGGCAGAGGACTTGACCAAGGCTGCTGACTGCAGGGCGGACTGTAGAGGAGTGTCAAGGCGAGGCCGAGGAGAATATAGCCAGCCAATCCCTAGCCGTAGGGGTTGTTGTGCTAGGTTCGTAGGAGTTCGTCAGGTCGTTCGTGCAGTCAGGCACCGGGCCCTGTGCAAGGCCTGGACGGTGCCAGGTGTCTGTCCTCAGGGCCGGCTCTTGTCCTTGCTCAACAGTCAGCAAGCAGGTGCAGACAAACAGGAGCGAATGAGAGGTCAATTCCGCCGTGTCCCTGATGGACACCATCCGTTAGCGGGCATCAGGATGGTTGCAGAGCTGGCCAGGAAGAGCCACAAAGGGAGGGGCAGGCCGAGCTGGAGAGCGTCAAGTGCGATGGAGGGGTCATGGGCGAATCGAAAGCGTGGCTCACGCATTCCAGTGC